ATGGCACACAGGCCGAGCCCTTGTGGAATACCCTCTTCACCTGTCCTGCAAGCATCAAGGCCCGCATCAAGCCTTGCATGCAAGATTCGCTAGCGCTGCAAATTAATTCATGCGTTGGTGCGTTCGTGATGGGTCATTCACATGCAATGATCCTGGCTTGACGGTGTGGTTGTCCAGGCGCGGATCTTTTTCTCACCAATTGGACCAGACCAGGACGTTGGTGTGGCGATGGGAGGCATGCACACCTCAGCACCTGACAGGCTCAGGCGGCCCCGCGTGAAGTTACTGCCGCTTGTGGATTCGTTGGGTTTGCGAAGAATGGGGAGTCGGGACACTTGCAGCCGACGAGCGACCCAGCTTGCACTTCATTAATTTGATTCCAGGGCTTGCGTGATGCTGAGCTGACGATTTGACCGTTAGAGTTTTTGCGGGCAACATGTCGTCCTTTGAACCTGCCAGACTCGCAATCTGCATGCACCATGTTTGCTGACCAATCAAGTGGGCGCTGCAACACGAATGCCTGCGGCACTCGAGAGGATGGCATCCGGGCATGGCCTAAACCAGCAATACTTCCAGCACTGACTGGTCTGCGGCTGCCAGTTCTGAGAGCTGTGTTGGTTGCGTGTGCGGCCCAGAGCCCTGTAGAACTGTTGTTTGCTGTTCTGCAGGCCGCCTCAGCCTTTCACCGCAGCTTTCGCGCCAAGCGGAAACGGCAGTCGATTTGTGAAGTAAAGAGTGGGGCGAAAGCTAAAAGACAGGTTTCCTTGATGGTTGTTGCCTTGGCAAGCGCGTGGCATGGGATGTTTGCCTGCATCACAGTCTTCCCGGGACGCGACTCGCGGAGCCGTCCAAGCCCACGGCGTTGGCGTGTCGGGCGGGTCGCAAGAGCACGCGCATGTCACCTGCCCAGACAGCTTCAGTGCCTGCCATTCCGAGAATTCCGAGAGTTCCGCCAAGCGAGCCGGAAGACTTTGAGCCAGGCGCACATTGAGGCAAAGGCGGGCACATGTTTCGCCGAGGTGTGGATCCAGTCGAACGTTCTGATAGAGTGCCATCGGAAGCCAAGAAATGCACTCTGCAGAAGTGGTTCAATACGGGCTGGCCATAGGTCCACGCGCGCCTGGCTTCCGAAACAAAGCTGGCTTGCGGCTTTTCAGGTGCGCAAGCAAACGTAAAGGCTGGCTTCTTCTCTAGCGAGCGAGGAGTTGCTTTCTCTTGGCTTGCCATTTGAAGCTTCAATCTGGCTCAGTTTGCGTGATGCCAAGCTGACTCTCCAGTCAAAAAGGTTGTCAGGGTGCTAGTTGAACCAGGCATTGGTGGCTGGCAAACTTGTCAAGGTGCGTTGTGCAGGGCTGAGGCCTTGTGTTGCAAAAGGGCTTGCAACAGCCTTTGCAATGCACCAGAAGAGCTCACCTGCTCTGTACGAAGTGAGCAATAGGGATCAGTTAATTGGACGTCGGCACCCAGTGTTGGCAGCAGGCAGTGATACTCGTGCCGCTTAACGGAACTTGTTTTTCCCTGGTTGTGCGATACCGAGCTTCTAGCTTGACAGTGGTAGGTTTCAGAAAAGCTCGTTGGCCGTAAGTTGGGCTCGCACGCGTAGCATAAGGTTGGTTGTTGTGGAGAGGATCACGCCTCATTGTTTTAATATGCGGTTGCAGACAACGGCTTGCGCGTCAAGCCTCTTGGATGTGAAAATTGTTTTGAGGAAGGCCACAACTTTGTTTGTGAAGCAACTTGAGCGTTCTAGGCCAAAACTGTCAGTTGATCAACCCTTGAATACTGGTAGGCCAGCAGTTCGGCTCGCACATGTTGCCTGAAGGCCCGAGGTTCATTCAATTCTAGATACGCCCATTGACTTGCCTTCGGCCTATCAAAGGACTTGCGAACCAGCACGGGGATAGGCTAGCAACTCAGCTCTTCTCTTTGTTCGAGATGGATGAGTGCGGCAAGTGTCCTGCTATTGACGTGCCCTCAGCGATGGATTTCCGTCTCGTGATAGCTTGCACGATGTTAGCTAGCAGCTTGCTAGTTGTGCATTCCAGGATGTAAATCCTGTGACCAGCCATGCCAGACTCGTTGGCTCACACACGTAGCATAAGGTTGGTTGTTGTGGAGAGGTGTTTTAACATGCGATTGCAGACAACGGCTTGCGCGTCAAGCCTCTTGGATGTGAAAATTGTTTTGAGGAAGGCCACAACTTTGTTTGTGAAGCAACTTGAGCGTTCTGGGCCAAAACTGTCAGTTGATCAACCCTTGAATACTGGTAGGCCAGCAGTTCGGCTCGCACATGTTGCCTGAAGGCCCGAGGTTCATTCAATTCTAGATACGCCCATTGACTTGCCTTCGGCCTATCAAAGGACTTGCGAACCAGCACGTTTTGGGGATAGGCTAGCAACTCAGCTCTTCTCTTTGTTCGAGATGGATGAGTGCGGCAAGTGTCCTGCTATTGACGTGCCCTCAGCGATGGATTTCCGTCTCGTGATAGCTTGCACGATGTTAGCTAGCAGCTTGCCAGTTGTGCATTCCAGGATGTAAATCCTGTGACCAGCCATGCCAGACTCGTTGGCTCACACGCATAGCATAAGGTTGGTAGTTGGGGAGAGGCGTTTTAACATGCGATTACAGACAACGGCTTGCGCATCAAGCCTTCTTGTATGGCCACTGGCTTAGCAGAGCACAGTTGCCCAGTGTGTAAGCTTTGCATGTTTTCTGAAAGAGCTTTTGACATGCTGGTGCCATTGTGACAGCTTACACGATGAGATGACAGTTTTTTACTCGTGCGTTCCGGCAAAGAGTGTGATTTGATCAAACTGCCACACCGGACCGCGAATCGGGCCAGCACACTTGGGATCAGTTGTCTGAGCGGCGTGAGAAACCAGCCAGCAAGCAGAATGGCAAGAGCACAGAGCCTTGGGTTTGAGCCGCGTGGCAAGCTTCACTTGGACTTAGACAGTAGCCTTTCCAGGTCTTGTGTTCGCGAGACTGCGAGCCTTTGAGACTCCAGTGTCGCACTGGCGCTGTGTGAAGGCTTCCGGGATCCGAAACTAGGCTCGGTTCTCGAGGCATTGCCTGCCTGCCCCGATGAAGACCCTGCCGGAGACTTTGCCCTGGCTTGGAGTGTACCTTGGTTCACCTTGGCCGGACTTGCAGGCATGATTTGACAAGTGGACATGGCAGGGGCATGAACCTTGCGTGGCGCCATGTTTGCTGCTGCAGACCGAATGCGCTGCGCTCGAGAGGATGGCACTTGCCAGATCTTAACATGCCCCAAAAACAGCAATACTTCCAGCAGGAAGCCAAGAGGCCGAGCCGTTTTATTGAACGGCTTCGGGGGTTGCGTGCCCCCTCCAGACCATGTCTAAAAGAGGCGCACCCACAGGGATGTGTGTTTGTGTGAGAGTACCGTTGTTTAAAGATTGTTGGTCTAAAGGGAAATCGAAAGGAAAGCTACCATTTTGAGACCGACTGGTCTGCGGCCGGCAGTTCTGAGGGCTGTGTGGATTGCGTGTACGGCCCAGAGCCCTTCGGGGGACATTGGCTGCTGTGAGTCTTTTGCCAGGTTTTTCTTGTGTCCGCAAGATAAATGTTGTTTGATGCTTCGCAGGCCGCCTAAGCCTTTCACCGCAGCTTTCGCGCCAAGCAGAAACAGCTGTCGATTTGTGAAGCAAAGAGTGGGGCGAAAGCTGAAAGACAGGTTTCCTTGATGGTTGTTGCCTTGGCAAGCGCGTGGCATGGGATGTTTGCCTGCATCACAGTCTTCCGGGGACGCGACTTGCGGAGCCGTCCAAGCCCACGGCGTTGGCGTGTCGGGCGGGTCGCAAGAGCACGCGCATGTCACCTGCCCAGACAGCTTCGGTGCCTGCCATTCCGAGAATTCCGAGAGTTCCGCCAAGCGAGCCGGAAGACTTTGAGCCAGGCGCACATTGAGGCAAAGGTTGGCCGGTGAGAGGGATTCAGGGCTGCTTTGCCGAAAGGTCAAAGCTACATGGGACACCTTTTCGTGTTGAACCGGGGATGAGCGGCCTGAGACGACATCAGTGGCTTCGAAGATAGGGAGTCAACGACCATGCGTTTGTGCTGTCATGTTGAGTTAAACTCATTTCAAAGGACAAGCTGACCTTGATGTCAAGCTTGCAGACCTGTCCACTTGCTACAGTGCCACGTGCCGGCTTCTTTGGCAAAGTGGCCTTTCCCAAACATGGCCGTTTGCGCAAGCTAGTCACCATGAAGATCCACTTCCCACGAATTTGCACGCGCATTGCGTGAAATGCTTGCGATGCGCGGCCCAAGACAGGAAACGCATGGTAGCTTGTGCATTTCAATTTGCTCGAATGCGGATTTCCTGCCAAACATGTAGCGCGTCAAGATGTTCTGTGATCGACGCTGCTTGCGTTTCCGCTGGATGAAGCTTGCTTTTCAGGGCACAAGAAGAGTCCTTGTTTCACTGGCCGGCCATTTGCAATGACCCGACCAGCACACTGCGTGAAGTTCGAGCAGGAGCAGGTTTCAGCCAACCAAGTACGACATCTCATTTCCACGTTGGTTCTAACTTGTAGCCTTGCACTTCGGATGCAGTGATCAGTTCCAGTCACCAGATTTTGAAGAGGACGCTGGCGCTCGCGATTCCGTGCTTTTCTGGAGCTACAGTGCTTCATTGCCGGCGAGCATGACACAGAGCTGTACAGATGTGTACATGGGTACATGTGATGCCATCGCCATTGCCCAGGATGTTGAACTGTGCAGTAGAGTCTGGCAAGTTGCGACTCGACAGCAGCTTTGAGTGCAAGGTCATGTACCGTGTAAGAGCTTGACAACTGTCAGCTTTTGCATGGTTCCAACTCCAGGCCAGGAATGCAAGTTGCTTGGAGCAGAGCTGTCGTAGCCGCGGCAGTGGCAGAGACACTGCGCACCACCAGCGGTCAGCCTGGCGCTCGCAGTTGTCTCTCGAAATGTCAACCAGACATCTTTCTTTTGGCCTTGAAAGGGTGGTGCCTTGGTTATGTATTGGACAGCACTTCAACCTGGATTGCTCGGATTGGGTGAGACACCTGAGATATTTGCCATTTTGATATCAAAGCAGTGGCCACTCGCAGCTGGGGTTCGAGCAAAGGTTGGCATTTCGACCAACGGATTCTTGGGGTACTGGACATTGAGCTTGAAGCATGCACTGCTTCAGCTTTTGGGCGTCGGAGCTCGTCGCTCACTGAGAGTGTAAGGCCTTGTGCCTCCAAGGCTCCAAGAAATCGTTTGATACTTCGGGCATGTGCCTTCGCGGTAGCGTCGCAGCCGTCGCAGGCGTCGCGGGTGTCGCAGCCGTCGCAGGCGTCGCGGGTGAAGCCAAGGCGAGCGACGGGACGGATTTGCATGCGCGGGGCAAGACAGAGCAGGCGGCATGCGGCTGTGCGCGGCCTGCATCTCTCGCGGTTTTCAATATCCTTCAGTGTGGGAAGTGCCAAGGGCGCAATTGCTTTCCTTCCAACTAAGTGCCTTAAGCGACATTGATATAGAAGGATTGCTGACTGACCTCTGCCAAGACTTCTGTGTATGCGGGAGCGTGACTCTTGGCTGCGTGTTGGATCCTGCAAGGAGCGCAGGGAACATCTGAAGTGGGCCCCTCGAGTGCCATCATTTTTTCACCGGAACTTTCTTCCGTGTCAACGCCACAAATCGCCAGCAACTGGTCATCAGTAGCCCGGGCACTCGTTCAAGAGGACCGTTCTGACTTGGGTCAGCTACTACTCCTGTACTGCGCTTGACGGGCAGCAAGCTGGCGGTCACTTAAATCAAATGGCCCTGCTGACCAGAAGGACCGAAACCTGATAGCTCGTTTCTGAAGCAAGGCCCTGTCTCTAGCGGTTGGCGAGGCGAGACGGAGGGTGCCTTGAGGACTCGGACCAATTAGCGCTCTTCCCCTAGAACAGAACTCGTTAAAAGCAACTCGTTAAAGACATCTTAGCTTCCCTTTGAGGACAAAAACGGAGGTTGGCTGTGTCAACCAAATTGGCAGATGGCACGCACTAAGCTGGGCACTTCCCCTTTTCAGGCGCAGCCACGTCTGGCAACTCAAATATTCGGAAGGAGGGCTTTCCGCGACCCCTTGATAAGCCCATGGAAAGCCTTTGCCTGCCATTAGTTTCGGCTACCTCAAGGCCAGAAATTGGCCAATTGCCTCAAGCGACGCGTGCGATGCAATGGTGGGAGCCAATTGCATGATGGCCAGGTGACCCTCTGCTCATTTTGGAGGTCTGTTGAGTGATGGCTCAGATTCCCCGAAGTCAAGACCCGAGATGCAAGCTGGGTCCGAGATCAATGTAAGCTGGGAAGTACGCAGTTATCCGCGGCATTCCCTCCACTGCAAAGGCCACGATTGCTCAACAGCGTTTGAGGTTTGCCAATGTGTTGGCCCCGAAGTGCTCCCGTTCTTGCGCGAAGCGCCTCACTGTCTTCGGACAGCCTTGGCCATCGAATGCATTTGAGGTTCGAGATGCTGTGCAGCGGTGATTTTTGCAACGTGTTGCCTCCAGCGGCTTGATCTGTGCGAGCGCTCTCGTTGACTGCACCAATTAACCCAAAGCGACAGCTTGCTTTTTGGACATGTGGCGTGGAATGGCCCTCGTAATGTTTGAGGTTTGAGATAGCACGAACACCTGATTCTTGCAACGTGTTGCCTCCCGTGAGGAGATTTGTGCGAGTGCCCACGTTGACTGCACCAATCAATGTGTGACTGCTTGCTCTTTGGACTCGCTGCAAAAGCCAAGATTGTTCGGACGTGCAGGCACCCCCATTGAGTGCACAAACTAACCCAAAGCGACAGCTTGCTCCTTGGACCCAACACGGTTGAGGTTTGAGGTATGACGAAGACGTGATTCTTCCAACGTGCTGGCTCCCGTGGCTTGGTTCTTGCGAGCGCCCGTGTTGACTGCACCTCAATGCCAAGTGACTGCGAGCTGCTCGAACTCGCTGTACAGGCCACGATAGTTCAAAATCGTTTGAGGTTGCGACGGACGGCGAGCACCCCCGTTGACCGCACCAACTGACTCACAGTGACAGCTTGCTTTGTGGACCCAAAACATTTAAGTTTTAAAATAGGACGAACGCCTGATCACCCAATGCGAGGTTTGATTTGTGCGAGCGCCCTTGCTGACGGAGCCAATCAATGCAAAGTGACTGCTTGCTGTTTGGACTCGGTGCAACGGCTGCGATTGTTCAGAAACGTTTGAGGTGTTGTGACGGACTTACGAGCGCCCCCATTGACTGCACCAACTAGCACAAAGCGACAGCTTGCTTTTTGGACCCACGTTCGAGGGTTGAGATAGGATGAAGACGCGATTCTTCCAACACGTTGGCTTGATGTGTGCGAGCGCCCGTGTTGACTGCACCAATGAATACCAAGTGACTGCAACCTGTTTGGACTCGCTGCAAAGGCCACAATTGTTCAAAGTGGTTGGTTCTATCCATGTCATGTTTGCCTCCCCTCGTTTCCCTCGTTTGATGACCCACCGGATGGTTCTCAGAACCTCTTTGGAGAACCCTTCAAGAAGGTTGTAAGAGTGGGCTTGTGGGGGTTGTTTCCCTATCTATGAGGAGGCTGCTAGGCTGCTGAAAGCTGGCCACAGGGTGCATTGTGCAAGCTAGGCATGCCTGCGATGCGATGGCATAGTGGAAGGCAGCCGCTGAGTCCGGACTCTGGTTTTGGGGGAGTTTGGTGCATGCCGACGATGTGAGCGTGAGACTCATGGTGACATAAATGTGAGTCTTTGCGGCATCCTTGGGTTTTACCAGCGACAATGCACAGTGCCGGCCTGCGTGGTTGGAGCCTGACACTGTGTCGACTTCCGAACTTCGGCTGCCTAGTGTCCTACCATTGGGCGCTCTGTCAGTTCCCATAGCTATCTCGCAGTCAGGGACCGGCGCAGCCTTATGCCATGTGAGCTGTACCACACTTTGGACATCAGTTTCCTTGCGGGCTAAAAGGTTCACACGCTTGGCCAGGCTCAAGTAAATAAAAGGAATCGCCAAGCTCTTGTTTTGCTGAGAAAGCCCACGTGCTCACGAGCAAAGATATGGGCTCATATCCAGTGCACACTTGCATTTCCCGGGTTTACGAGGATTTGCACAGGTTGTCAGCTCCACTTGTGCTGTGACTTGGGCAACAAACAACTACCACGAGGTCTCAAATGCAAGTGACTAGCAGGTGAGTGCTTTGTATCATGGTCGGACAATGGCGCCTTTGCGGTGCCTGGCTTGCCTTTTTCCCTGAGCCGTTACCAAGCTCATCAGGCCCAGAGGCTGAGAGGCTGAGAGTCGTGTGGGGATATCCACGAGGAAGGCACTGGAGACGTGCCTTTGGGCTATCGCTAGCCTCTGGGCTCGTCTCGTTTCAGAGCCAGCTCCATTGCAACCGTCATGCCCAAGACACATCTTTGGCTAGCAGCTCTGGATCTCCGTTCTCACGCCAAACCAAACTCCTCGAAAGTGATCGTTCGATCAAACACTGTCGGTAGTTTGACCGTTTGAGCTGAGCCCAAGCCCCCCTGTTTGGAACAGGGTCGTCGGAAGCAAGTGCTGATGGTGCAGTTGGAATCCAGGCTTACACCGAAAACACGTCCGGCCACCATGTGCATGGGGATACTGGATAAGGAGTTTGCAACGTGCGGTGTTCAGTCTTGGGCCCAAAACTGGCACGATTGTTCTGCGCGAAGCGAGTGAACCCAGGCTTCGCGGCTTCGATAGATGGCCGGTCAGGCTGGCCTCGAGCGAGCCCAGAAAGACACGAAAGAGACAGCGATGCTGCGAGACCGGGAGATTGGACAGTCCAAGTCTCCTGAAGGTAAGAATCATATGGGGTTACGTAGGTGCTGCCTGGAATTAGACGGCAAGATGCACTGTGCAACACGAGCTCCCTGCAACAAGTTTGCTTTTCGGATCCAGAAGGCCCCTTTGGGTCTCAGGGCACCTCTGCGCAGCAATCGTCCGGGCCAACTTGTCTCGCTGTGCGATCGCGTCTGAGCCCGATTTGCCGGAAACTTGTGCTCCCAGCCAACTTATGGCATGTGCCTCCGGTCCAATCAGCGAGTTGATTGCTCGTGCACAAGATTTGACTCAAGGTCGCCCAGTCTCCTTAGCCTATTTGGTTGTGCTGAGATATTTATGGTCGCAAGCGACACTCTAGATTTCTGCCAGATCTCTTGTGTGAGCTACAGAAGAGCCTTCGACCGATTCGCGCAGGCCGTGGGAAAACGGCAATGGCTGACCAAAGGAAGCTGACCTTCGTGATTTGGAAGGGTGAGTTCATGAGTTGCAAAAGGGAGACTTCCATGAACCAAGCTGGGGGCTTGGTGGCCTCGTACACCGACGCACAAGATGCTGACATTTTTGAGGCAAAGGTTTGCCTCATGGAAGCCTCGTGGGTGGCTTCCCTTTGATTCCCTTTCAAAGGCCAAGGGTAGTTTATAGCCACATGTGCATTTCGCTTCACTGGCTAGCTTCTTGAACATCTCTCGGACTCCTTTGCGTCTGTCGAGACCCGGTGCCTTGTGCCAGGGTGTTGCGGTGGCATTGGCCCATCTTGTGACGCTGGCATGTGGAGTTTGAGATCGGCATGCAGCAGGTGTCGCCTTTGCCCTAAAGTCTGTCAAGTGTGAAAGTCCGGCCCCTTGTGCGTGCATCGTTGTTCTGAGGGCCATCTTGCCTTGTCGAATGAGACGCACTCGAGCTCGCGCAAGTGTGACACTGTGACTCTCCTACCAGTGTTCCTCCTGGCATGGAGAGGGCTTTGGCCTGTCTGGCCTCTCTGGCCTCCCTCCCCGGTGCCAATTGCTTTGGATTGCCCTTCCCTCGAGGAGTTCGCAGGTGCAGAGGTCTTGTGCTGTGCCAGCGAGCCCAGAACCATTTTGCGCTTGCACAAGGCGAGATCCAAGCCCTAGCAGCATCCTTTGCGCGAACGCTCACCTTCCACGAGAAACCCAGGGGCCACGGGGCTGCATAGCTGCCCGAATCCAGGAGGGGGTGATCCATCAGCTGACACCAACGACTTTCCTTGGCCGTAGACTGGAGAGGGTGCAGCATGCAGTGCGGAAGGTGTTGCACCTGGGTGAGTTGCAGTCTCCGATTCCCTGAACAAGGTGCGCCCTCCCATCACACGAATTCGTCCTGGTGGCACCGCCAGGCATGCCTGACACATGCGACGTGCCGCTGCATTGGCAAGTGGCCCCAGCTGACGTGCTTGCTTTTCTCAATGCTTGCTGATGCGGCTGCCCCGTGCTTATGCCTTCACTCCCGCTTTTCCCGCCGGTCATGCTTCAAGTGCAGCCACCGTTTGCACTTCCACCTTGCACTTGCGCATTGCCCGTTCGAGTCTGCTCCATGCGGCAGTCAAACCGAAGCACGCTTCCTGGAGAAGCAGCGATGCCGACTTTGACCATTTGAAGAGGTGAGGGCCCGGAATCGGGTGATCTTCGAGTTTTTGGCTATGTGATGATTTCCACTTCGTAATGGTCGGAACGTAAGGCAAGAATGCAGCCCCTGAAACTTGAGAGAATCAGTGTTGGTGCGGAAAGTCCAAGCATTTGTATACAGACCTTTAGCAACGCCACCCTTAGAAGGCATCGCTGCCAAGCTCCGAAGCTCAGGCATTCGAGCATGTAAGTAGAAAGAGTTGAGCTAGGGCGCAGAAAGTCGAAGCATGGCTTCGCGCATAGTGCACGTGCTCCAAAGTTCAAGACACAGCTGAAGCTCCATGGGAATCAATGCAGAGCTTGCAGAGCAAGCTGCTTCCGTTAGCTGTGTCACCTTTTCGGGGCATCTTGCACTGATCACGTGACGGCTTTGATGTTGACCAGAAGGGTAGCTCTGACCGCGCTTTGTTGAACTTCGCTTTATTAGCTCGCATACACTGCTCAGTGCGCCTTCAGCGACCCCGTCGCCAAACCTCCCTTTCCGTCTGTCGTCTGACTCTCGCTTGGGCTATGCTGTGGGTACCTCTAATCTTCAGTGCACTCAGCCGCTCGCTTGAAGGCTGGCAAGGGCCAGGGCCAGGCTTGAGGGGTCTTTTTATATGCAACAAGCGAAGCTGACGGCCACGGCTAGCCCGGCTCGCCTCGGCACCAATGGCACCAATGGCACCAATGGCACCAATTGCACTAATGGCGCTAGGGCCTGCGTAAGGCAGGCGTTGCGAGGCCTTGTGCTTTGGCCTCACCTTGTGATTTGATGGTTTCCGCTGTACTTGGCCTTCGGTAGATCCGAACTTTCGGTGTAGAGCCGCTCGCGGTTTCAGTTGGGCTTCGCAGCCTTGAAGCACCTGGCAAGCTTCGAGTCATAGTCCTGCGCGTCAAGCTGACGATTGTGCCCAATTGCGGGCACCTTGGGCCCTCTCGCAAGGCTTTGGTGAACTCTTTTGTTTTGAAAGGGCCAATGCGGTGTGATTTGCAAGCCCTGGCCGAACTCATGACAGAGCAAATCCTGCGCGTTCGCGGTCGCTGTTGGCCGGTGGGGCGTTGCTGCTCACGAATCCGAGGCACTACATGAGATCGGCTTGCCTTATTCAGAGCATCGACAGACCCTTGGGCAAGCACAGCTTGGACCGGCAAAAACACGTTCGCAGTGTTGGCTGCTTGCAGATCTCACGATGATCCGCTTGATGCTTTGCAAAGTGGGGAGCACATTGCTTGCTTGATAACGAGATGCGATTGTTTGTCTGGAAGGGGTCCAGAACCAACTGCCCTACCTTGACGACACATGTGTGGAAAGTCACGGATTCTATGCGAAACGGCAGAGCAAATCCTGCACGTCCGCGGGCGCGAGTTTGCTACCCATTGGCTTCAGGCAGCACATGCCAGCGGCTAGCGTTGAGAGACTGTTGGGCAAGCACAGCTTGGACCGGCAAGAACACATTCGCAGTCTTGGGTTCTTGCAGATTTCACTCTGATTCGCTTGGTGCTTTGTAAAGTGGGGGACACGCATTTTGCTAGATAAGGAGATCCGATTGTTTGTCTGGAGGGTGTCCAGAACCAACTGCCCTACCCTGACGACACATGTGTGGAAAATCACGGATCTGACTGTTTGCCACTCAATTTGTGGGCAAGAGGCAGTGATATGCGATGCGATCTGCAAGCCCTGGCCCAAACAAAGGCAGAGCAAATCCTGCGCGTTCGCGGTCGAGTTTGCTACCCCCGTCGGCTAGCGTTGAGAGACAGTTGGGCAAGCACAGCTGGGACCGGCAAAAGCACGTTCGCAGTCTTGGGTGCTTGCAGATCTCATGCTGATTCGCTTGGTGCTTTGTAAAGTGGGGGACACGCATTTTGCTCGATAAGGAGATCCGATTGTTTGTCTGGAGGGTGTCCAGAACCAACTGCCCTACCCTGACGACACATGTGTGGAAAATCACGGATCTGACTGTTTGCCACTCAATTTGTGGGCAAGAGGCAGTGATACGAGATGCGATCGCGAACTCATGGCAGAGCCAATCCTGCGCGTTCGCGGTCGCTGTTGGCCGGCATCGGCTTTAGGCAGCACATGACATCGGATTTGAGAGGCCGTTTCGCAAGCACAGCGGGTGCTTGCAGATCTCACGCTGATTCGCTTGGTGCTTTGTAAAGTGGGGGGCATGCTGTTTGCTTGATGTCGAGATGCGATTGTTTGTCTGGAAGGTGTCCAGAACCAACTGCCCTACCTTGACGACACCTTTGTGCAAGCATGCTGCTCCCTGTCTGGCAACGCTTTCCGTGGGTGAATTGACTTCTGTGAGTCCGAGTCGGTATCTTAGACCCGCGGAGAGGCACGTGCAAGAGCTTTCCAGCGATCGAGTTCTGCAAGGTTTGCAGCCAGAAGTTGCAGCGCTGAAGTCGAGCGCATGGTTTGACTGGGAACTCTCATCGCACTCATGGGCTGCGTTCAAATGCCCGGAGCGCGTCGAAGCTCGATGTGCGGCCTTGCGCCTTCCATGGGCCGCTTCGCTTCGGCGAGCAAAGTGACGTGCGATTTGGTGAGCTTCCATCAAGGTTTCTTGACGCAGATCAGGTTGAGCTGCACTGAGGCGGAGTCTCTGGGCAAAGGGTAAGGCTCAACTTCATGGTGCAAAGGCTGAAGCGCAAGGCTGCACCACACCGCCCCAAATTCTGTCTCTCCCTCGCGGCGGGGAGCAAGCTTTATTGCGCGAGACATGAGTTCCTCTCTCGCGCAAACTCCCATTGGTTGGCCGACGGAAAGGCTTTGACGCTGAGCGCTTGGAGCAGCACCTGCGACGGCTGGTGACTCTGGGGCGGTGTCGATATCTGCGGTGTCGATATCCACTTTGCAAAGCTCTCGCCGCGGCGCAGTTTATGCCTGGCTCGAGCTTGTCGAGCTTTTGACCTGAGGCATCGTGAAGGCTGTCACAGGTTCCCGTCAAAGTCAGGGATCCAGTGAGACTCGAGGATTTCCCGTGACCGCATTTCACAAGCGCCGAAACCGCCCCATTCCCCTTGACCTGCCAGAAGGATGTGTGATACGCGGTGTCGTCATGCGCTCGATAGTGCGGAAGGCGTTCGGCGCTGGAGTGCATTTTGCTGACACACGCTTCGGCGCTCGGGTCTGTTTGATGAGCCGATGCGTCACGAAACCAGGATGAGCATGTAACTGATGTATTTGGTATATCCTTTGGAGTTGTGAAATCCGACACAGCTTGCGTCGCTTGCGTTGAGCCTTCCACGTTGTGCGCTCAGTGGCAAGTTGTATCAGGTTGTGCATGTGCTTTTGGGTTTATTCTTGCACGTGACACGCATTGCACGTCCCGTTTGGCCAAAGTGACCCGGGTGCCAGAGGTGGACAGGAACGAAAGGAAGAATACCAAACATGTTGAGTGCTTGAGGACTTGTAAAGTCTCAGGCAAACTTGTGAGGCCAGATGCTTGCCTGAAGTGAAGCCAACACCTGCGGAGTTGCGAGAGTGAAGTTTCTCAGTCGATGCTTTGCGCGTGGAAGAAAGAGCTGATACGGATTGGGGTAGATGTTGCTCGAAGTTCCCGGCCTCAAGGGGTTCTAAGGGGAACGTGGAAGGCTCTCCAAGACTTGATAGACGGGTTCATTACGAGGGCTGCTTCATCCTTTTGAACTCTGTTCTTTGCTGCCTGCCTTGCTCGAGACTTTCTGCCTCACAGCGGCCGCAGCCACTCATGTTCAACTCTTGAAATTCATGTCTTTCACGTGCAGGCTTTCAGGAAGCCGCAGCTCGCGTCTGTCAGGAGGTGTGAACTTTATGGAGTTAAGTGACAAGACCATCCATCCTTGCCCATTCCACTGCATTCAACTTGCCCGTTTTTTTTTTCCCCCGCTTCTGATTCTCTGTTTTCAGCACAGCCATGTTTTTCAGCACACTTCTGCAGTGGGCAGCGCTGGTTTGACTCCAACACACAAGCACACACACACAGCACACAGACACACAAACACGCACATACACAGCACGCCGTTCTAACGCCTCTTGCAATATTTGCATGGATCATGTCAGCAACTAGCATGATGGCCCATGATTCTTTGTGTTCGTGAGCCTTGCGCTGGGCCCAATTGACCGTGTCAGGGATCCATTTTGGAATATGTCCGTTTAACCACCTGAGACCTGCCATGGAGCTTCCGGCTCTGCACTGCCGCGCCCGGCAGAGAGGCGCGATGCTCACACACCGGAAGGGAAAATGCTCGTTGCTGTCCCGGTCCAACCGTGCGCGAGAGATGGCACGTGCCCTGGGCCTCAGGCTGGCCGCTTCCAGCCTCACCAGCTGCGCGCCGGCCGTGCGAGTCGCGGCCGCGGCCGCGGCATCGCACTGCGGCGCTCTGCGCGGCCGTGGCTGTGCCAGGCAGAGTCGAGCCATCGGATCCCGTGCATCCTGACATCCCGTTTGAAGGCGCCAGATATCGCGTGGAGGACTGGTAGAAGGCGTGCAAGGCGTGCAAGGCGTGCAAGGCGTGCAAGGCGTGCAAGGCAGCACTTTCTGAGCAAGTTTGGAATTTTTAAAGGAGCGGCGGCCCCGGAGCCGTGCCCAGCTGGTGGGGCAGCTGCTGCGACTCCTGCAAGGAGCGCTTTCGGTTTCGAGGCTTGGAGGTTTCGAGGCAGTGCCAGGCCGGGACATCCTGTGGCTGGTGCTGGGCAGCGCAGGCGCGGCCATGCGTGGCCATGGCGCAGCATGGCGTTGCCTGGCCAGCATGGCACGGTTGCCTGGTGACATCTGGTGACAGCCAGGTTTGCTGCTGTCATCTCTGGCCGAGCTGGCATCGCCGCCTCTGGCAGCGGGAGCTCTTTTCGCGGCTGTCCAGGCCAACTTGAAACCCCTTGCGTGACTTTTCGCAGAGTTTCCGAGTGTCCTCAGCTGCCTGGAAATATGTTTGTGCTTGCAGGGCCAGCGGGAAGTCCTGTTGCCACGGTGCTTGGCGGTGGCAGCAGTTGCGCTGCTGAGCGGCGCTGCAGAGGGGCTCCGAAACTTTGCCTTCAACATGCGCCTGGGATGGTGAAGCCGTGTCCATTTATTGTTCTTTTTCACGGCGGATGTATGTATTCCGTTGGGTTCAGCATCACCGCATGGACACCTCGACGGCCAAATTTTGTTTGAAGTCTCAAAAGGTGCATTGACTTTAGATGACCTCTGCGTGCCTCACGGAGTGTCGCCTCAGGCTTCGGAGCCGTCTGGTGGCCCACGTCAGGCGGTCTGCCTTCTTCGTGCTGATGGCGCAGGAGCGGTTTGCGGGTACACCAGGTAGACACAGTAGACAGGGTCCAATTCGTCCAATTCGTCTCTTGCGACCCGGCCATTTGGCCATCGGGCCGTGAGGAGCTGAGCTTCTTTGATGAGGTGGACGCCGCGGAGCTGACCTCGCGCCTGAGCTCAGACTGCATGTCGGTGTATTCCTACCTGCGGCTCGGCTTGAGACACCCGCTTTTCAGTAGATCCAGCGCTCAGCACTGCGGCGCTGCGACAAGTTTGTAGGTTCCCAGGTTCTTGGACAAAAAGCCTGCGGCAAAGGAGCGATGTGCTGAGCTTCTTCCTGCGTGCCGGGGCGGTCACCGTCTTCAGCTCGCTGGCGCTGCTGCGGATCTCCTCGAGCATCACCTGGCGAGTGCTGCTGCTGCTGGCCTTGTTGCTGGGCTGCCCTGCCCCCAGTGGAGCTCGTGACACGAACAGAAGTCGAGTCTTGGGGTTTCGTCCCTTGTCCCGTTGTCTTTGTGGGTTGGTTTCAAGGGACACCAAGAAATCACCCCCATTTTGGCGTGCTGGATTCTCCCTTGGCCCCGCAGTTTTCGGATTTGGATCAGGTGCGGAGTGGTACGGCCAGGTGACGCGCTCAACGGGCCGCCGCACGCAGGAGCTCCGATTCGAAGCGTGCCTTTTTGAAAGCCCCGTGAAAGGGGTGGCTTGGACGTTGGGAATGCACACAGCCACCCCTTTTCTAGGGGTCCCCCTGTTTCGTTTTGACGTTTTCACGTTTTGACAGCCCTTTCTTTTGGAAGTTTGCTCAAGGATGGCTTGAGAAAAAGCGCCTCAGTTTTTGTGGAGAACCTGGGAAGGTGGCTGCCAATTGATTTGGCAAGTTCCTTTTGGTGTGTTTGGGTCGCAGATCGAGTTGGAACCCTGTTAGTGTTTGATAGCAGTGTCGTCATGATTTGTCTTGATGTTGTCATGCGTGGAGTTTCCGAGCTTACCCTTTATTGATGGTTTGAGGTGGGTTGCAGGTTTCAAGAGAACAAACGGTAATCCCAAAACAAAACTAGCAATGCAACCACCAAGCAAAATCAGGAGTCAAGGGCAGGTGGTTTTGCTAATCCTCTAGAGCCAACAGCTGTCGCCTCCACCGCAAGCACAATTGGGGTTCCCTGTTGGACCATCACTCCAACTACCCAACACCCATGGGCTGATTTGTCCCCCCGCCCCTCTTGAAACCAAACAGGAAGATACCCCTAACCTCCAAGCCACCAATCCAGGAAACAAATTGAGTCAACCCCCTAAACCCTCTCAACCCAAGCACCAAGCTGAACCCCAAGTGAAAGCAGGGTTGAACATGAAGCCCAACACCCTTTACCCCAAGTCATGGTTTTGTGCAGCTTTAGGACGCCTTGGCCGAGCTGGGCCGCGTCTCCAGCGAGTCTCTGCAGCTTTTGCGCACCGTGCGCGCCCTCGGCGCGGAGGCCGGGGATCCGAGCGATGGCCAATTCATGGACCTTTCAATGGGCAAACCTGTAATTCGGGCTAGGACCGTTTTTGGACATTGCACCCAACTTGGAACTTGCCCAAGTAGCGTTTTGGTGGTATTTTGCGGACTGCGCCTTGCCATCTTTTGGACGTCCAGCGTCATTTTCCAAGGGTGTTATCCCTGGGATTGTTTCCCTTTAACCAATTGTTTAGCAGGCTGCTTTGATGATGGTGAAACAATGGGGCCAGTAAATCCGCGAACCCTGGCTGCTTTTCATTAGTAGCGGAAGGAGTGGCAGTTTCCGTATTCTTGCAAGAGCATACGAGCATACTTCCGCGTACCGGCTTATCCCCACGTCTCGGTGTGGCTGGATGCAAGACTGTATAACATGTTGGCGGTTTTGGTGGAGAGCAATCAGGGCCGGGTGCAGGATTCTTGGCTCTTTGGTCTTCTTCCTTTCGGATCAACCGATGCACCCTGTCTGACTTCGTTCGGGACGCGCAGGGCGTCCCCGCATTGCCCCATTCAATCCTTGCCCGTCTCCAGGACCTGCACCGCCGTTTGTTCAGAAGACAAAATGCGGATGCCTCAGCTTTCCGAGTCGCCTTGAATTTTGTCAAAGCGCCGCACGAGGATGCCATTTCCAAAACGCAGCGCCAGCGAGGCCTCCGTGCCACGCAACGTAGCTGTGTGCGCTTTTGCCTTTGCGCCGGGGCTTGGTGCCTTTCAGAAGACACGGGGTCAACAAGCTGGCATTTGCCGTGAACATTCAAGCCACTTGTTCAGCGCCATTTGATACCATTGGCAGGCAGCGAGTGACAGGCATAGATCAGGGATCCTTAGAATTTACTCACTGCAAGGTGAGTAAGGCATTGGTGACCTGTAGATGATCCTGTTCCGTGCTACGAAGTGCAGAAACTCTTGTGATGGGTTTACCCAGGCTCCCCTTTCAAAACAGACGAAGGAGGCTGCTTTGGGACACACCTCGCCAGGTGTTGCGCTGGGAGTTTTCTCCGCGACCAGCAACGGCTTGGGCGTCATGCTGCAAGCCGTGCCCCTTGAATCATTTGGAGAGTCTCCAGTGGAATTCCCAAAGTGCAGTCTCGTGTGGGAACCCCTTTTAAGGTTCTGGCGAATTTTAGGGATGGTTTTGTTTGGGCGAGAAGCACAGCTTGAGGACGCTGCTGGTTGGGGGTGGCTTGGTGCTGGGAGGCTCCATGACCGGTGAGGCGCCTGACTGTCTGGATGAGCTTGGCTGAAGTGAAGTGAAGGGACAGTTTGACATGGATGTTCGTTTCCTTCGGCTTGGTTCATTCACGATCAGAAGTCCCACAGTGTAACGGGTTGATTGCGAGTTGCACGCGTTTGGTACAATTGCGTGCAGGCCTGAGTTCTTCCCAGCTTGCACGATGTGCCATGCGCAGGCTCTAGCCACCTATTTGCTGTACCTTGACACATTAGTGGATAGTGCCAGGGTTGCACCGAGTGGCTTATTTTGTGTAATGTTCTTTCCCTGCAGCCTCAGCCTCGAGACTTTCGAACAGAGGCAAAGGCAACGAGCTGAGACTCAGAACAGCGGATAGATCCATTAAGCGGGACTTGCTTCCAACTCTCTTTCGGGCTCGGGGCCTGAACCGTGCGCTTCTTGGCAAGGGCTCCTGCCCTCAGGGCAAATCCCAATGTTTGTATCGATCCGTTGTTTGCATCTGAGGCGCGCTCGAGCTGGGGATTGTGACCTGGCAGAATTTCTGGCTGACGCCTGCTCCGTTTTGAGGCTGAGACATGGAATGGATCCCCACTGCCGTCTCGTCGGCAAAGGGGCGGTGTTTAACGAGAGCCATGGACGACCAAACCGGAGGGAGGCAAAGGGAGACCAAACCGAGGGAAAAGAAAAACATGAAAAACCAAGGGAACGCCTTGACTTTTGGGGACAAGGAGTGGTCCTCCTGCAACGACGCCCTGGGTTCCGCAGAGCGTGTGCTGGGCATCCTCCAGACTCCCATGGTACGGGAGCGTGGCCGATCACCAGGTGGGGATATGAAACGACGCCTGAAAAGTGACACGCTATGAGTTCTAGTGGGGATACCCTCCTTGGTGGTCTCACAATTTCCAGTGTCCACGGGGCTCAAGGAATTCACACCCATGTAGGTATGAGGTTAGGGGCCTCAAACACCAACTTCAAGGGCTTTTGGGGCCGCTGGCTGTCATACCAAGCAAATCCCTTTTTTCATGGGCGACACGGGCATGGGAATGGCCCAGAGAGGATTCTTTCCAGCATGGGCATCTCCTGTTTGGCGAAAGGACCAGGTTTTGGGGTTCGGTTAGTCTGGAGTTTGCTTTCTTGGGCGGACCCTTGTTGGATGCTGTGCGAAGAAGGCGAAACGGAAGCTTTCATTCATGTTGCTTCCTGTGGCTCGCCTTTCTGTTTGCGTGAGCAATGGCCTGATTCTACTCAGCGCCTTGCTGGGTGACTCTTGGTCTTGGGCCACCCTTTGCATGAGCATGGGCAAGTTGAACGTTCAACTCGGCTGAGAAGGACATGGCCTTGGATATGCTCAATATTTGGGATATTGGGCACTCCCTTGCTTTAGAGGGTGCTCCAGGGCTCACTTGGTTTTTGGCCTATCCCAACCAGCCGCGACGCAGGAGCTTCCCGGGGTGACGTGTGCTTCGACTCTGTGCACTTTGCCTACCCCTCGCGGCCCAAGCGACAGGTGCTGAAGGGCGTCTCGCTGAAGTGCTGCGCCGGGGAAACCACTGCGCTCGTGGGCTTCAGCGGCTCAGGACACAATTCCATTCGAATCTGCTGAGTTCTTTGTGAGTCCGGGTTTGCCTCTTTCTATGACCTCGAAAGGGACAATGTCGTAGGTTTGGTCTACGTTGGTATCAGGGAGATGGTTTCCCCACACACATGGCTTTGGACGGAATCAGAGGGAGCATTGGAGGACGTGGGGGACTCTATACGCTCCCCATTTACTAGAAAAATGGTTTGGGACTTACGCAAATGGCATATAAGTAAGAAATGCATGTTGATGTCTCATCACAGGAAATGCGCCTCATTCGTTTCCCTTTCGGGTTTCTCTACTTTGGCGACCCGGCAACCAAAACTGTGGCTTAGGGGTTGCCTTTGGCAGCACGTACCACCCGAACAACTGGCATCGAGACGGGCCTTCAAATCTCGATGTGAGCGACTGGCACTAGTGTTGATGAAGGCTATTATTGTTTGTTTGTCCAATTTTGACTGGGAACCTTTCCTGAGTGTTGCCATGGGAGCCCCTGTCCGTGCCTGGAGGAAAGTCCTCCCTCATTAGCTTGCTGCTCCGCTTCTATGACTTGAAGGACATCGGGAGCCAGCTTGATGCCTGTCGTCCCCAAAGCGGAGACCCCGTTTCGGATGTCTTTTGCCGAAGAATCTTTCCTCCTTTTGAGACGTGCACCCCAGATTTTGGTCGCGCAACGCCCCATCGGCCACTGAAACCTTCGGCCAGGAGGGCCACGGCTCGGTCAAGTTCGATGACGCCAGCGGCTCAACGCCGAGAGCCGAAGCGCACCTTAAAGCGTTCCGAGTGGCAGGGCCCCATGATATGAAGCCTGTTTGAAGGTCCAAAAACATATCACGGATCGAAAGGTTCTTTTTGTTTGTTTGTTTTTTGTGGCTCTTTTCGTTTTCTTTTGGTGTATTATTTGGACATCGGAAATCGCCTTGATTTCAGCTGCGCCCTTGCATTTTAAGGAACCCGGAGGGTTTTTCCCTGAAGTCGAGGTGGACGTGCAGCAGTTGGACAGGTCCTGGCTGCGCTGTCAGCTGGGCGTCGTCGCGCAGAACCCCCGGCTCTTCCGCGGAACTGTGGCGGTCCGGCGCTGAGACCAGAGACCTGACACCTGACAACCGGTTTGTGGAAACCTTGGTAGGTGTACTTTCTGTGACTTGCTTGAAAGTGAAGGAGTCTTGAAGATGGCCCTCAGAAGTGGCTTACCATGTGCGGGTCGCGGCTTGCTTTCGGTGTCACCTTGCAAATGGTGACCTGCTTTCCGGCCATGAGAAGGGCTTTTTTCTCGCAGCGAGCTTGCCTGGGCCCGTTGGATTGGGAGCGCAAGGCCGTGCTTTGCCAGGAGAACATTGCCTGGGGCTGGCCTGCTACGCGCAAGGAGGTGCATGCAGCAGCAGAGGTCGGGAGCTCAATATTTTGCGGACGCAGAATCACCTCTGTCACCTCTCTGGAACCTTGTCTGCACAACAAGAACACTAAGTATTTCCTTGACTGGGTTTCTTTCAACTCTCCACCCTTGTTTGTTCGATTGGCTTCACTCATAGGCCGCCTTAGCCGCCGAGTTCATCGAGCAGCTGCCCGAGGAATGGGACACGAAGAGCTCAGTCAGACGAGTCCAATGGAACTCGGTTGAGGTCGGTGGCTGGTCCGTCGGTTTGTCCATCGGCTGATTAGTGTGTTGCCTGCTTGGTCAGTCAGGTGGTCGGAAGGTCGTTGTTGGCTTCGTGGTGGCTGGTTGGTTGACAGGTTCTTTCGCTCTCAGCTGCTTTCATCTTTTGCTAGTTGGTTGGTGGGTTGGCTGGCTGGCTGGCTGTCTGGTTGCTGCCCATTGACGTAATGTTGCGTGGCGGCCAGGGCTACGATACGGTGTGCTCTGACGAGAAGCTTCTCTCTGGAGGCCATGCGAAGGGACAGGTGGAGCGGCCGTGCCAGCCACGCTCAAAGTCTGAGCACCCAAGTCCAAGCCTGCGCCAGGACAGCGCCAGCGCATTGCCTTGGCGCGGGCTTTGCTGCGAGATCCCACGGCCGGGCATTGTTTTGCTTGCACGTTTTTCAATTCGGGGCTTCAGGTGCTGCTGCTGGATGAGCCAACCTCAGCCCTTGACCCCAAGTCCAGTGCCCTAGTGTCGCAGGCGCTGGAACAGGCGCGCGCATTGATTGGCGAGGAACTCTTCTTCAGCTTGACTCCTTTCCTGCAAGTTGCTAGAGCCCATGTCTTGTTGAGAACGGCCTTGAGAAGCTGAGAGGCACAGTGGTCTGAAGGAAGGCAGTGCCGACGGACGATGATCGTGCAGAGCTCAGGTCTTCGGCTGTGCTGAGGTTTGAACATGGAACAAGTGTTTTACCTTTAAGTTTATGGGGCCAATCACAGGAAAGAGGGGCCCGACAAAGAGCCTCTTGGTGCCTCCCCTCTCTTGGGTTCGGAACCCCCACTTGGTTTGAACATTCTGATGTCAAGCACCAAAGTTCAAGTTGAAGCAGACTTTGCTCGGCTGAACAGCCCAGATCGTGGCGCACGACCTGCGTCTGGGCGCGGTGCAACGTGCGGACAAGATCGTGGTGATGGGCCGAGGCAAGGTTTTGTGTTTTGCTTGTTGGGGCATCCTTGGGTTACATAAGGTGTGTGAGTTTAGTCTCGAAATGGTGGCCCCTGGGTGGCTTCCTTCTTAGACATACATATTCGATGTCCCTTGTAGTGGTTCCTCTTCAGGGAGTACGGATCAGGACTGGCCAGCCCTCGGCCCGGCTGTGGACTTCCCTTGAGTTTTTTCTGTTTAACGCAAAGAAAAAAGCTATCTTCACGCATTTTTGGTTGTCAAAAAGAAGTCAACATTCCCAAAGCCAAGTGGATGGTCCTTCCTTTCCTTCGAATCGCTCTTTATGTCTTCGGATTCATCCAGAGCGTTCCTTTATGGGGTTCGCACGTTGGCATCCCTGGTTGACCCGTGAGGCGCCTTGCTCATTCGCCACAAGTTGAGTGCTTCTTTGGACGTATCATTTTCCACAGAAGGGAACCCCCTTGCCAGTTCGACAAGGCCTCTCCCGTCCGCATATTGCCCTCCGCCCCCTATACCCCCCCCCTACACTTTTAGCCCCAAATCAAATACACACATCAAATCAACCCTTTTCACACCTCCAGATCATCACATGCACCAACTTCAACACCAAAAATTACACATTCATACACCCGTCTTCATTTCTCACTCATCTCCTCACTCTCAACATCAACACATTAGCTCATTCAAAGCAACAATCAGAACCGCATACCATCTTCACACCACACAACACGCAATTTTCAACAAGCATGCCAACATCTCACCTCAACATCGTAAGATCATCATTCTTCTCCCTCCTTCCTCCCACCAACGCACTAACAAGCCCCCGAATCCGTTTCTTCACAATCTCAAGCAGTCTAAAATGAAACCCCAAAATCTCTGTTACCCTCATCACCCCAAAACGAAAGAACACCACCTTTCCCGCCCAAACACCCCCATTGTGTGTAAATTATCTACCCTGGATGGTAAAATGCGGGCTGAAGACACAAGTCTTGGTCAATTCCATTTTGCGGGCAGTATTGGCTTATGCAGTTGTCAGAAAGCATCACACTGCATGTAGGTTCACACCCTCAGTGGCGCACATATTTGCAGTGGTGAACGCAAGAAACTCCACCCTGTCACAGAAGGTGTCATACGCAGAGCCTTGGTCTTCAGGACAACAAACTAGCCGTTATCCCCATGACACGCATTGTCATGCGTAGTGGGCGGCGCTATGTGCTTGCATGGTTGCTCGTTTGCTGTTGGTGTTTTGCAGTGAGCCCTCAGCAGTCCGTTTTTTCCGCATTGCCGCCACGACAGTCTCCCAGAAGTGGTGATGTTTCGGAGCTTTTGACAAAGAAGTTGTCGGAGATAGAGAATGAGCAGGTGGAGAACTGGATCAGGGCACAGTTGGAGGATTTGGAGTATTCAGATGTTGCAGATGCAGCGTGCAAGGCGCTTGCTGGTTACAGGGGAAAGGGTCTTTTGCTGCTCTCTTTTGATGACCTCCTTGCGATTCTCACAACCAGTGAGTAGAAAAATAGTTAATGAAATTCAACAAGAAAAATCATTATTCAATCCTAAATCCAATAGTAATTTATCGGACACAGAAGGATTAAACAAAGCATATGCAAATGGTAAAGGTTATTATTTTGATAATAATAAACTATATGTTGCTGGGACATTTGGTATAATAATACTAAATCAAATATTAATGATCTTTTAAGTGATGTAGGATTACCATTAAACCTTACAAGACATTCAGAACGTTACAAAGATGTATCAGAAGTGCTTGAAAACAACCCACAAATAGAACACCTTATTGGACACAGTCTAGCCGGTTCTGTTAATGCCCAACTCATAACAGATAATCCAGATAGAGACCTAACTCTCACTACCTACGGCGCTCCGTTTGTATCTTGGTCATCTAAAAAAATAATGATAGTTATACTAATTTTAGAGGCGGTGGCGAGGTAGTGTCATTACTTGACCGTGGTAGTATTCAAACACGAACCAATACTTATAACTATAACCCATTAGTAAATCATCAATATACAAATTATGACCAAGAAAAAGAACCAACTGTAGGTGGAGACCCCACTAGAGCAATAATGTAATTATTTATATAAATGATTATACAAGAATGCCTAATAATGACATTAAAAATCGTATAAAATCCTAAAAAGAAAATCAGTTATGATGACATTAAGAAAATAGTAGAAGACGAACCTAATTATAAGATTGAACATAATAATACTAATTAAAGGGCCGGATAACCCCACAAGTCTATGCTTATTGAAGTATGCGACACTTGCATCTGCCGAGCAGCGAATAATCCCAAATCCGAGACATGCAAAGACCCTCACATGCAAAACCTTCACGCAGTCAGCTATGTCGAAAACTCTCAGCACTTTGTTTTTCGCTCTGGCAGATCGAGGGGTCGCATTGGCATCGCCAATGGCATATGTCAGCGGCATATGTTTAACATATGGCTTGAAGTGCCAACGCGTCAGGCGCAGCATGTATCTGCCAGCCTGGCCCCATGCATCCTGCGCGGTAAGGCGCTAAGTACTTCAAGACGAAAGCCTTCCAAGAGCGGAACGCCATTTCCGCGGGCTTCTTTGCATTGCAGCTGGTTCTACAAGCGTATATAGGTCGCTCCCGCGACCGCAGATGCAAGCAACTTCCAAATCATCCACGCGTCCAACTACAACGGCATCTCCAAAGTGCTGCGCCTGTCACGATTTCGCGCGCCCCGAGCCGCGCGCGCGACAACATCCCAGCCCTTTAGACAGCTGAACAATGCTGCCCTTGCCACGCAAACACACACTCAGATGCACAGAATGCTGCGCCTGCCACGACTTCGGCAATGGCATCTCCAAAGTGCTGCGCCTGCCACGATTTCGCGAGCCCCGAGCCGCGCGCGCGACAACATCCCAGCCCTTTAGACAGCTGCCAAATGCTGCCCCTGCCACGCAAACACACACTCAGATGCACAGAATGCTGCGCCTGCCACGACTTCGGCAATGGCATCTCCAAAGTGCTGCGCCTGCCACGATTTCGCGAGCCCCGAGCCGCGCGCGCGACAACATTCCAGCCCTTTAGACAGCTGCCAAATGCTGCCCCTGCCACGCAAACACACACTCAGATGCACAGAATGCTGCGCCTGCCACGACTTCGGCAATGGCATCTCCAAAGTGCTGCGCCTGCCACGATTTCGCGAGCCCCGAGCCGCGCGCGCGACAACATCCCAGCCCTTTAGACAGCTGCCAAATGCTGCCCCTGCCACGCAAACACACACTCAGATGCACAGAATGCTGCGCCTGCCACGACTTCGGCAATGGCATCTCCAAAGTGCTGCGCCTGCCACGATTTCGCGAGCCCCGAGCCGCGCGTGCGACAACATTCCAGCCCTTTAGACAGCTGCCACATGCTGCCCCTGGCACGCAAACACACACTCAGATGCACAGAATGCTGCGCCTGCCACGACTTCGGCAATGGCATCTCCAAAGTGCTGCGCCTGCTACGATTTCGCAAGCCCCGAGCCCCGCGTGCGACAACATCCCAGCCCTTTAGACAGCTGCCAAATGCTGCCCCTGCCCACAAACACACACTCAGATGCACAGAATGCTGCGCCTGCCACGACTTCGGCGATGGCATCTCCAAAGTGCTGCGCCTGCCACGATTTCGCGAGCCCCGAGCCGCGCGCGCGACAACCCCTGCCACGCAAACACACACTCAGATGCACAGAATGCCGCGCTTGCCACGACTTCGGCAATGGCATCTCCAAATTGCTGCGCCTGCCACGATTTCGCAAGCCCCGAGCCGCGCTCGGCAATGGCATCTCCAAGGTGCTGCGCCTGCCACGATTTCGCGAGCCCCGAGCCGCGCGCGCGACAACATCCCAGCCCTTTAGCAGCTGCCAAATGCTGCCCCTGCCACGCAAACACACACTCAGATGCACAGAATGCTGCGCCTGCCACGACTTCGGCAATGGCATCTCCAAAGTGCTGCGCCTGCCACGATTTCGCGAGCCCCGAGCCGCGCGCGCGACAACATCCCAGCCCTTTAGACAGCTGCCAAATGCTGCTCCTGCCACGCAAACACACACTCAGATGCACAGAATGCTGCGCCTGCCACGACTTCGGCAATGGCATCTCCAAAGTGCTGCGCCTGCCACGATTTCGCGAGCCCCGAGCCGCGCGCGCGACAACATCCCAGCCCTTTAGACAGCTGCCAAATGCTGCCCCTGCCACGCAAACACACACTCAGATGCACAGAATGCTGCGCCTGCCACGACTTCGGCAACGGCATCTCCAAAGTGCTGCGCCTGCCACGATTTCGCGAGCCCCGAGCCGCGCGCGCGACAACACCCCAGCCCTTTAAACAGCTCCCAAATGCTGCCCCTGCCACGCAAACACACGCTCAGATGCACAGAATGCTGCGCCTGCCACGACTTCGGCAACGGCATCTCCAAAGTGCTGCGCCTGCCACGATTTCGCGAGCCCCGAGCCGCGCGCGCGACAACACCCCAGCCCTTTAAACAGCTCCCAAATGCTGCCCCTGTGAGTGAGTGAGTGAGTGTGACTGAGTGTGAGCGAGTGAGTGTGTGTGAGTGAGTGTGTGTGAGTGAGTGTGTGTGAGTGAGTGTGTGTGTGAGTGAGTGTGTGTGAGTGAGTGAGTGTGTGTGACCGAGTGTGTGTGAGTCAGTGTGTGTGAGTGAGTGTGCGTGAGTGAGTGACTTTGTGCGGGTGAGTGAGTGAGTGAGTGAGTGAGTGTGAGTGAGTGTGAGTGAGTGAGTGTGTGTGAGTGAGTGTGTGTGAGTGAGTGTGTGTGAGTGAGTGTGAGACAGTGAGTGTGAGTGAGTGGGCGGCGGGGGCGGCGGGGCGGGCGGTGGACGGCGGGGCCGGACGGCGGACGGCGGGCGGCGGGCGCGGAGCGGTAAAAGTAAGAACCCCACACAAAGATGTGGGGAAAAATACATTTAAAAACTATTAAATACAAATTATAAAAAGAACTAATAGATTATTCACATTTC